GAGGTGGAACCGGATTGCCCTTCCTGGACAATCCTGCGATGACCACCTAAAATGATCCGAAGAAGGGAGGGCTGATTAGATAGAGATGCGGGAATAGATGTTCAGGATCAGATGCCCCCAAAAACCCCCAACCTGCACCAGACATGTACCTGGCTGTGGGCCACGGGCTCACAACCTTTGCCCGAACCACGGGACGGGAAACCAAAGTTTCTAGAACTGCTCACATGCTGCTCGAGATCTGGACACGGCCTGCACCAGGCGGACAAGTAGCCTAGGCGAGAGTCCATCAGCTTCGGCTCACGCTGAAGCGATTCCGTCAACTTTGGCTCACGCTAAAGCATTCTAAGGAAACTTCCTATCAACTCCGGCTCACGCCAAAGCAGGCCACAGCCATATCTACCACTTCGGCCATTCTTTCCGCCTTGGTTACGACCTTCACGACCCCCACGATCCTTGCGATCCTCACGGCCCTCCTCCAGCTGCTAATAAATTATAGCTGCGCCTTAATTAACAGAGGCGACCATACCCACCATGTCTGAACAAGAACTTTGGAGGCTCCGGCGCGAGCTATAGGAGTTAAAGGCACGAGAGGAGGCAGCAAAAGCATGAGAGGAGGCAGCAAAAGCACGAGAGGCACAAGAGTAGCGCGAGAAGGAGCAGATCATGTCACAAGCGGCACAAGAACGACGCAGGAACGAAAAGGCCACTCTGGAGGAATATCTACAACACTGCTATACACTCATCTACACGCGGCTCATGCTTGCCTACAGGTCCAAGTCCACGATAGGAATGACAAAAGTCGATGGTAAATACTACCCAAAGTGGCTTTGTCCCCGGAACCACTTCTGGAATGACGAGCGCCGCCGCGTCATACTCATTGACTTTGACCGTGCCGACCCCCTCCCCATGCTTAAACATAAACAGTTTTCGAGCTGTCGGGATCTGGGAGGAAGAGGAAGCAGAGGAAGTAGAGGATGCGTGATGGGGGGAAATCGTAAGTAATGAACGAGACAATTAGTTTAGCTTTCATAAGCAGATGGGATAAACAAGTAGACTAGTTTTTTTTTTTTTTTTTTTTTTTTTTTTTGGCTTCAACTGATTGGGCATTTCATTTCATTATTGTGGAGTAATCTCGTGGAAAAGTTGGGAGGTCGCGACGTGGGAAAAGTACATGAATTTTATCACTGAATTCCATCGCTTATCCTGGCTGGGTTGCCTGCAGCTAAAAGCAGCCTGCCCACGCCTGCACACTAGTCTAAAGCCCCACCCGCTCCCCGCGATTTCCATTTGTTCTTTGTTTCCAGCCCCAGCCACTGCCAACCACAGGCCCGCAAGCCGATCATCTGCCCCACGATCCCGTCTCGCCTTAGTGTGCCCTGTCAGCTGCTCTCATCGATCTTGAATGGACGCTCCTGCCATGTCATGCGACTGCGAAACCGCGCCGATAGTGGGACTTTATTACCCCGTCGCCGCGCTCTGCAGCCCTTTCCCGTACAATGATACATACACACATTCGGACCGCTGCACGGTGTTTCTCGAGTCGCGGTGCAACGAGTTGAAACTCAACTTCGACGTGCTTACTCGACGCCCTGCAGTGGCACCAGTCCTCCCGGCATCCCCAACGTCGTTGGCACCCTTTACGCCCTCGACACCCTACGTCAGTGGCCCTGGCCCCGATTTGTTCTGGATACCGATATTCACTCGCTGTCATCAGGCTCTCTCCAGCCCTTCTCGCCCCAGCCCTGCGCCATGACCGGCTTTTTTGTCCATGGCCCCCCTGCCATCCGAGTTAGCAACAGCAGCGACAGCAAGTTGAGATTGCCCACCCAGAGCTCGACCTCTTCATTCAAGAAGAAGCAGCAGAAGCCCCCAAAACATGTCACCTTCCAGCCCCTGACCAAGATTATCCGGAACACCGGCAACCTTGTGCTGTCATGGCGCGATGGCCTCACCGAATCGGAGCGCGAGGACAGGAGGAGGGTTGAAGAGCGGATGCAGATCCTGGCGGCTCGTATGGAAAACGTAGGCAAAGCGCCCCCTTCACACCTCCTCTTCTCAGTCCAGTAACTCACGGGACCCATTGTAGGCTACCACGCTCAAGGAGTGGGAGTCGGCCGCAAAAGAACTCGACGAGCTGGAAGGCAACGACGAATGGAAACTCGATGACTCGACTGGCGACTACGTCCCAGAGCTGATCGAGACGAAGCTGAGAGAGCTTGACACCGCGAGGACCAACTGCGACATCCGGACCATGATGTATCTTGTTCGAACGGCCTTGTCGCGAGATCTGGGTGGCATGGGAAATATCGACCTCTACCGGCACTCTTATACTGGGACAAAGAGCTTGATCGAGCGCTATGTTGATTCAGCTGTCAAGACCATCGAGGCGTTGGTCGAGAAGAGCGCCTATGCCTTGCCCCCTGATATGGAGTCCAAAGACCTGCTAGAGGGGATGCTCTACGCAAGGCAAAGCTTTGGGAGGAGCGCTCTGCTTTTAAGCGGAGGCGCTACTTTTGGAATGTCGCATATCGGGGTGCTCAAGGCTTTGTACGAGTCGCAACTTCTCCCTCGGATAATATCGGGGGCTTCGGCCGGGTCTATTGTGTGCGCAGTGTTGTGCACAAGGAAGGATGAGGAGATCACTGATTTGGTCGCAGGATTTCCTTTCGGCGACTTGGCTGTGTTTGAGGGCGAAGACGAGGGGATTTCTGATCATATCAGGCGACTTCTGACCGAGGGAAGCTGGGCGGACATCACGCACCTCACACGTGTGATGCGAAGCTGGCTCGGCGACCTGACATTCCAGGAGGCCTACAATCGGACGCGGAGGATATGCAACATTTGCGTGTCGTCAGCCTCGATCTACGAGCTCCCTCGGCTACTCAACTATGTCACGGCCCCCAATGTCATGATATGGTCGGCTGTCGCCGCCTCTTGCTCTGTCCCCCTCATCTTCCAGGCAGCACCCTTGCTGGTCAAAGATCCGGCAACCGGCGCGCATGTCCCTTGGAATCCCACACCACAACGATGGATCGATGGATCTGTGGACAACGACCTGCCAATGACCCGCCTTGCCGAGATGTTTAACGTCAATCACTTTGTTGTCTCGCAAGTCAATCCCCACGTTGTTCCATTCCTTTCCAAGGACGACCGTCTGTACCCAGGAGCCACCCCTGGCAAGCTTCAACAGCAACAGCAAGCACAGGACAGCGGCGAATGGCTCTACACTCTAACGACTCTAGCGAAAGAGGAAGCTCTGCATAGGTTACAGTTCCTCACTGAGCTGGGCGTGTTCCCAAACCTGTTTACCAAACTCCGCTGCATCTTGAGTCAGAGATATTCGGGCGATATCACCATTCTACCTGAGATCGCCGTGCACGATCTTCCCCTCATTCTCAAGAACCCGACTTCAGACTTTATGATCCGCAACTGCTTGATAGGCGAGAGGGCGACCTGGCCAAAACTTAGCCGCGTCAAAGACAGATGCTCCATCGAGCTTGCGCTGGACCGTGCAGTTCATGCCCTGCGGGCGCGAGTTGTTTTTAGCAAGAGCCAAGTTGATCTTCGTCGGTTGGCGGGCATCTCAGACCCGAAGCCAGTTAGGAGGGGTCTCAGCAGAGGTGCAAGCGTTGAGAGTGGTGTGAACGGCCACCCCCGACCAGTCTGCCATGTCCACCATCCCTCGTCGGGAGAAGGAACGCTAGAGGGACCAAAGCCAAGACGCCGTAGGAGCTCCGTGGGTAGCATCCAGCTGCTCGCGGCGCGCCACAAGAAGGTATTCCAAAACACAGATGACGTCTTGACCGACGATCAGTCAGAAGATGAACGCCTCGAAATGGCGTCGTGGAACCGCTCTGTTACCAAAAGGCCCATGGCCGCTGCGACCGCCAAGCCGCGTGCGAAGCGGGGCATGGTTAGGAGCCAGAGTCACGCGCGGTCGAAGTCTTCGGTCTCAACCATTGCCGCTGCGATGGCTTCGGAAGAGACCAAAATACCCCTTTTTAACTTTTCGGCGCCGCTGTCGCCGCCAACGAACCCAGGGAATGACTCGGCCGTTGCCATTGACGATAGCACGGTTGAGGATAACGCGGGGTTGTCGCCGCTTTTGCTAGAGCCGTCCCAGGCGGGCATCAAGCTTATCCGGCCCTCGCCGCCCCCTGCGCCGACACCAGACCGGAACACCTCAGACGGGGACGTGGATAGTGACTCCGATCCGTACTACCACGAGACGTGCTCATATCCAGTAGGGAGGGGAGCGCGCGGTGGAAGCGGTAGTGCAAGTGAGAGCGATAACAATGTGAACACCAAGCAAGGCCAGTTTCTGGCTCCGTGAATGATGGGGAACATGTGAGGCAGTTTGGAGCTGCGCAACCATAAAGGGCTAGTGTGTGGCTTAGAACGTGTTTTGTTACACACCCTCGAGGGAAACACTGAGTGTAGAGCGGAGGAGGCTGTTTGATACACAAACGCGTTGCGTAGCATTTGCGGGTCATGGGGTGCTCGAGAAGACACGAAGCGGTCATTTATTTCAAGAACAAAGCAATTGCATATCGTAATTCTAGGCTGTTAGCCCCCCCCCCCCCCGGTTAGAGTCGGACCTCTTGACGGCCAAGCTCATCCTAGCGAATCGACACTCTAAAAGCCCAAAGCCCACCCTCAGCTGGAGACCGAATATGCCATCGTCCCCAACACCCCCGCCTGTACCGTTGGCGCAGAAATACTGAAGCCTAACCTGGCGGTCTATATCCCAGGCTCTGAGTACCTAGTGAGTATCTCAATGTCTGTGCCGTGTTCACTGCATGCATCAAACATCTCTCCATCCAAGCCAAGTCCACAGGGTGTCTTTCCATGTCAACGACTACCAAGCCGAAAAGACGGCGGGGCATATCGAGCTACCTGCCATCGCTCCCAGTCTTGCCGAGAAACTTACTGTAGATTTCCAGGTAATCTGCCCGTGTCATGGGCACGCCCTGGCAAACACACGTTCATCAAACAACATCGCCCGCATGGTCTAGTGGTTACGACGTTCGCCTCACACTCCAAACAGTGGACGCGACAGGTCCCAGGTTCGATACCTGGTGTGGGCATTGCTTCCTTTTTTTGGCTCCATCCACGCTGGTGTTGTGGGTGGGTGGTATGCCGGCTGGTGGGCATCTACACTATGTCGATATTGGATGGCAAAGGGAACCTGAACCCCCCCTTTTTTACGGAGGCAATTGTTTTTGTGCACGGGCAACACAATACCAGCAGCTTCAACAAAAGCAAGTTGGGCCAAGTTTTCTTAGCTTGGTTTGCAAAAATAAAATCTGCCATGAGACAGATATCCCCAAAGGGGTCTGATGCCCAATAACAGGATTGAACTGTTGACCTTCGTGTTACTTGGTATATCATAAGATATATTAGTACGATGCTCTAACCAGCCGAGCTAATCGGGCTGTTGTTGTTGGTGTTGTGACAGGACGGGAATGTGACTAACGGGGCGCAGTGGACATGCCCAAGTGTTGGGTGAGTCATGTCAAGAGTCCCTCTACCAAGTCCACCCCCGCTCAAAAACCGGGAAACTCAAAGTGCTTCTCGGGCACCAGGTACCCGCCCGGGGGCACGCCGCCGTTCTGGAGCCCGCCCAGGAAGCTGGTGTGCAGCGTGTACAGGTCGGGGTTGGCCTTGAGGGCGGCGGCCTGGGCGAGCACGTCCTCGAGGTCCTGGCCAACGTCAATGTACCTGCCGCGCAGGGCGTGCTTGGCCATGCCCGTCGCCAGCGCCACGCACACCATGCCGTTGAGGTAGGGCGAGTCGTTGTAGATGTCGAGGGCGCGCGCGAACCAGGCGCGCGCCTGCGGGGGCACGTTGAGGACCGATTCGGATCCGTATTCTGGGTTCTAGGTCAGCTTCACTTTGGCTTTCAAAGGGAGGAGGGAGGAGCACTCTTCAGCGTCATGGCCGATTTGATGCCGCCCGGGTGCAGCGAGTACAGGTGGATGTCGTCGAGGCCCTCGACGTCCATCTCCTTTTGCGTGCACGACGTCAGGTTGATGAGGGCCGCCTTGCTCGCGCAGTAGCTCGTGCTGTACGGGATGGCGACGGTGCCGGCCCGCGACGCGATGTTGAGCACGCACCCGCTGCCCTGCTTGCGGAACTCGGGGATCAGCAGCCGCATGAGGAAGTACGGCCCGTGGAAGTTGACGGCGATGTCGCGGATGAAGTCGCGCGGGTCTTGGGCGTCGAGCTGATATTCAGTCAGTACCAAGATATATACATTGCCTGTTTGGTTGTGAGTGGCACGTACCGGTCCCAGACCGTTGGCGCCGGCGTTGTTGATCAGCACGTCGACCCGGCCGTGGGTGGCGAGTGTCTCGAGTCTTTGTTAGTCACAGCCCAGTCGTCCGCCCGGACCCCCCTTGGCGACACAACGTACCTGGTTTACAAGACTCTCGCAGCCCTCGAGGTCCGCAACATTGCACTTGAGATAAGTGACGGAGCTGGCGCCGAACTGCAAGCACCTCTCCTCGAGCGACGGCGGCGGAGGTGTGCTGTTGTAAGTGAGGACCAGCTTGGCACCGCCCACGGCGAAAGACTCTGCTAGTCCTTGCCCAATAGCTCCTGCGGCGCCTTTGAACCAATTAGACGTGGTGAAATAACTTCTTCACAGGAGACTTCCGGCTTACCTGTGATGATGGTGACTTTGTCTTGAAGGGATCCCTTGAACTTGGCCGGGTTGATGAAGGGGTATACATCGCTGCGGAAGCGGGGGATGAACTCGGGGGTTACTTGTTGTTCGCTCATTGTTGACCTCTCTTTCACCCAGTAAGTAATCGAAAACAGATAGACTAACAATGCACAATGCAGCTGTGCACCCAAAGGTTGAGGGCTGTTGAGAGAATTTGGGAGCAAAGCGACAAAGAATCACATTACCCAGGTTCACGGCGGGGTAAAATACCCAATCTGTCAACTAACGCCGTGTCGATACATGACATTATCCCGGGGTAAACATAAGCGAGACGAGCCGTTGTCGGCAATAGTTTTGGGAACGGAAAAATGGGGCACATTATATCCAAGGTACTATTATTATTCTGGTCAAGTTGGAGCAAAGTCAAAGTCGATTTCAATTCAAGTTATATTATGTATGTATCTCCTATGTTTACCACCCCTCGACGCTACCCGAATTTGTGCATCGCCATCTCACTATGCTGAGTGAGAGAGGGCCGAGATGTGGACAGCGCCCTAGCTTGATGCCAGAGCCTCACCTCGTCCCAGTCCTAAATCTGCAGCTTCGTGCGAATCGCCAAGAAGGAGCCGAGCTGGAACGGAGACTCGATCGGCTCGCCAAGGTCGGCGAACCGCCCGGTGCCCTTCAGCCTCAGGGCCGACTCCCAGCCCTCAACAAGCTCGACAAGAGCCCGCTTGCGGGGGGTGGTGACGGTCGGCTTGAAGCACTCCACCTCGCCCTTGGTGCAGTGGAGCTGCTGAGCCAGCTTGTCGTGCAGCTCCTCGGCCTCGCTTGCGACCCTGAGCTGCTTAGCGAACCCGACAATGATGACCCAGTTGTACTCGATCTCACCTAGTCCGCTCGTTGCGGCTTTCTCATATTGGAAAGCCGCGAACGCGGCCTCTTCCTCGGGGAGGAGGTCCAGAAGAGTCTTTTGGACATCTTCATCGTACTGTGCGCAGTCCTTCAGGACGAAGAGGCATGCTCTGGCAGTCATGATGGATGGTGTGTGTCGTCGAAAGTGCTAGAGGTAGTTTGTGTTGGGGTATGGGTTAGGACAAAAGTCTCAATGTGGTTAGCACATAATGAGCGAGGTATGGTGGTTTTATATTATGGAAATGTGTTGACGTGAACAAATGAATTGCTTTCTACCTTGGACGGATGACGGGAACAATAGTACTGACTTATCAACGCCTGAATTTCTGGGTATGACTGCGACCAATTATACCATGGATGGCCCTTCATAAAAAACCAGGTATTCGTGGATATAGTGAACTGGTACAGTAAAGGCAGCAAACAAGAAGAACAGAAACACAACAGTCTGATAATCGGAAGATACGAATAGATCAAGTCGACAAGATAACCGAGTAGATAAACAGAGAACATGTTCACAGTCACAACCTTTTGGTACTTTTTCGTATGTCTTTTCGCGTAAATGAATTGAAACTATTTTTGACCAGAGGACCCCCCTTGTATGGGGGTCCTCCACGTGAAAACCTAAGAACAGGGGGGGGGGGGGGGGGGGGGTAAGCCACCATGCTCCAAGAAGCCAATAGTCAGCCAAGCCTGTATAGTACATACTCGATAAAAAGCTAGCAAGTCTACTTGGCGCTTACACGTAGTTGTGGATCCTCAAGACCCGACGGAGCTGGTCAAAGTTGACACCACTTCGGACAACTGTACCCCCAATGTCTGCAGAATCGAGCATGCACTCTAGCAAAGTGTTCTCGATACTGTTGATAAAGAAAATAAGTTCGAGCTTTGCCCGCTCCAGGAGAGCCTGCTCCGGCCCGAGAACGACGTTGCGGGCTTTGAAGCCTTCCCCCATGTGTCCAAAGTTCTTCATCGTCTGCAAGATCCAGTTCGTATCGGCAACTGTCGTGCTGAGGTCGGGAAACGCAAGGAAGGCGACAAAGGCCTGGTGGCAATTTGGAGCGGGGCTAATGAAATGGATCCCCGAGAAGGCAGCCCCTTCAAACTCCTTCAGGATGAAGTCCAATCCCAATTTGACGTGAACACCAAACATTTCACAGCAACTGCCCTCAAACACAACCACCATTGCTGTGACGATACTGGTATCAGCCATAATGTTTGATTAGTTAGTTGTATGTTGTAAGGTGAAGGTTAGGTAGATTGATGCCTTGTGCCTGGTTTGGTGCTTTTGATATCGTATATCGATGGGATCCAAGGTTTTATATCCAATTATGTTATTTCTTGCACCAGCATTGTTCATACAAGCAGGACAAGGTACAATGCATTATGAAACCATTCCACACAAAGACCACAGCGGAACAGCAGACCCACACAATCATACAGAGCTTATACAATCGGACAGTGCTAAAGAACAATCGCCTTGTTCTTCAAACTTTGAGTCCACCTCCGAGAACGAAGACGAGATCCCTTGCTACCTTAGGTGGCAAGGTATTCGCCCCAGTACTACCGTAGCGTTGGCGTATGCTCCAATGGTGCTGGAAAAGCATTCTACTACTGGCAATCGTACAAGGTAGAGTGTCATATATGAGCCGAGTGTGCACGAGGTTGTCATCCCCCTGAGAGGGTGTACAATATGCAACGTGTCGTGCTTACTGGACAAACTTGTAAACGTCTCCAATGGGCACATCCAATGAGACACAACCCCCGTGTTTAGATAGGTAGGTTGAAATACACGATGGGGGACTGTCTTGCACCGCCTCCGTCTTTGCCCCGTCCCAACCCACACAATACAACATCCTTCACCCATGCTCCCGTTCCTCATTCTTTTTGGACCGCAGTATATTTCCCAAACGCCAGGCTTCGTAATGCAGATTCCGTCACTGGACCAGCTAGGCCGATCTATAGGTAAGGTGAGTATGCTGTGCTGCTTGCTCCCGTGACTTCGCGTCCTCCGCCTCTCCCAGACCACCGCCCACAAAGCATCTTCTCCCTCCAGGTATGTCGGTCACCCATCGTGCTCATGATTCATAGCCGAACGCCCCAGACGCCACGTCCTGCGCTGACCCCCAGCCATTCACCGGAGTCGCCAGTCGAAAGATGTGGTACCCATCCGAGGTTTCCAACTTCATAATCACATTGCCAACTAGCCACGGGGCTCCTCGAGTTGTCGGCAGATACCGTGCCATTGATGTTTGCAGGGGGCGGTCCCTGGCTGAGCAGGTCCCAGATGAGAACTTGGCAGTCATCGCCACCCGAAGCAAGTGTCCCTCGCCTCAACGGCGACCACTCGACACAATTCAAGGCCCCGCTGTGGCCGCGCAGCTCCAACAACGCCTGGCCTGGCTGGCGAACATCCAGTATCCTGATGACATTTGAGTCTTGGGCAAATGTCGCTAGCAAGTGGTGGTCGTGCGGAGATGTGGCCAAGCGCAGCAGGGGTGGGGCGTG